AGAATTACCGAACTTAATTGAACACGTATTTATTAGTTGTTATACATTTGTGATGTTTTAAGTGTACACTTTCGCGAAATTCTGTATTTAATAGGAATATTCCGATGGTGAAAATCCGCACAACAATCTTGCGTAGTTAATATAAATAACATGGAGGGAAATTATTGTTGCCACTCTATTAAAAATAAAATGGAACTAAATTGCTGCTGCCACTGTATTAAAAAAGTTTTTGTCCGTCCAACTTCTTTTTGCGTAGGCGGTCTTCGGCCGCGCTTACGGATTATAACCCTCACAACGTAGAATTCTCCTTTCTGTGTTGCCAAAGAAAAGGGGCAGAACACCTTTTGCAGAGAACACCTTTCTGCGTAGGCGGCCTTCGGCCGCGCTTAGGGATTATAACCCTCACAACATAGAATTCTCCTTTCTGCATGCGAAGAAAAGGAACAGAAATCGCTTTTCACAAAAGGATATTTCTTGTGCATTATTTGGGTGTTTTTAAAGTTGAAATACAAATTGTATTAATAGAGTGGCAGCACTAGTTTTCCTCCATCTTATTTATATTAACTACACAACATTGTTGTGCGGATTTTCACCATCGGAATATTGCTATTAAATACAGAATTTCGCGAAAGTGTACACTTAAAACATCACAAATGTATAAAAACTAATAAATACGTGTTCAATTTAGTTCATTTATTCCATTCATTTGCGTGAAATTCATCAAAACATAGTGCGGAAAGTGCAAGTGTTTTTTGCAAATAACTCATTAATTAATTAAAAATGTTAATTTCCGGTCTCGGATTGTTATTATTGGCGTTAAGACGCGTCGATTGATACCACGCTCGAACTTTTTCCGTCCATTTTGACCTACCTTCGCCAAAGTGCACTACTACCTTGAAAAGTTCGGGATCGCTTTCTAGTAAAAAATGGTAACTTCTGTCAACTGGTAACTTCTGTCAACTTCAACATAACCTCCAAATTTTGGTTGTAAATTTTTGCTTATTTTGTATGTAAACACACTCAGCTGACACATGTAAATAACCAAAAAATACTTTAAAATTCATTAGAATCCACTTAATACTTTGCAACATGAATTAGCAGAGTGCACTTTTCTCTTGTTTACAATTTGGTTGCCAAACACACTACAGCTGATCGTTTGACAGATTTACCAGAATTCACCAGCAAAAAATTCTCGGACTAAAACTGGTAACCAGCGTTGCCATTTTAGCCGTTTTCCGGCTAGATTTAGCCGGTTTTGATAGCAACTAGCCGGAGAAAATTCGATCTAGCCGGCAGCCGATTTGTTAGCCGGTTTGTAAAAAAAAGTTAGCCGTTTTTAGCCGATTTTACCATATATGTAATACTTCTATATTGATAGTAAGCTAACATCTCAATGTGTAAGCATTCCGAAATCAAAGCGAGACAGTCTAGTACTGTTTTTGTCAATGTATTGTGTACTTGAGTGCCGGTTTTGTAGATGTGTTGTGTACATGTTTATTTATAAATGGTATGTTCCTTTTCTTTCGTACGTGTTTATTGATATATCTGTACTGTAGTGTTTTCGGACGGTACTAGCTCTTACTGCCAATATAGGAGTATTGCTTATATGGATTTTACTATTTGCCTAATTTTCAGGTGCAAAAAGTAAACAAGTTGTTCGAAAGCAATAATGCAGACCCAATGAAGACTTTTAATGAACTCAATGTTTTACTTTCGCATCAATGCTCTCTAGTGGTTATTAGCGCGGACACATTTGATCCTATATGCTCCCCGTTGGAACCATACCTTGCTCCATTTCTTCAGTTTTATCACAGTTTTGAAGAGTATTTAAAAACAAAAGTAAGCACAAACGCTTTTGACCACGAAGCCGAGAAAATAATTCGAGAAAATGGTCGCTATTTTATTATCACTTTAATAAAGGAATTACGCCAACGCCTCCCTACAAATATTGCCACACTAAAAAAATTTACTTTTTTCGGTTGGAAATGCATTAAGAGTAATTAAACCAAAAGTATTTGTTCAACTACAGCAACAAAAACACAAATACATCCATAGAGATGCAATGGCTACGGTTAACGTTACATACCTGGAGTAATTTAGACTCAACTGTAAAATTTTGGGCCGAAGTTTATCAATTTCGAAATGCCCTTGGAGAAAACCCTTTTGCTGACCTTTCCAACCTAGTTTTTAGTTTTCTTGTTTTGCCTATAAGTAATGCAGAAGTAGAGCGAATATTTAGTTCAATGAATATAATAAAAACTAAGCAAAGAAATCCAATGTGCGTTAAAACGTTAAACCAGAGA